ATTCAGATTTTTAATTTTTCCCTCTATTTTAGCACCATCTCCCCTGCCTTCTGTGATACCTGGTGCCTCTGATTTCTAAGATACTTGGGGGCAGTTGCAGGGGGCTAAATAACTTCCTTCTTATTGGTAGCTTCCTCTCCTGGCACTAAGATTCCACTTTTCCCTCCTTATCTAAGTCAATTACCATTCCTTTTTTCACTTTCATCTTTATGTATTGTGGGCGGGATTATAAATGTCAATTAGTCTCCTCAAAGACAGAATTTGTATTTCTGTTTCTTTTCCTTATTTCCGAAGAGACAGTGGGGCAGAAATGTTTTTTTTTATATTTTGCGCTCTTAAAACTAGAAATATGTAGTACTTCATTATTTTTTAACTCAGTAAAAAGGTATATATCAGCTACACTGATTTTTTTTTTTAACTCAGAACTTTGTATTTTCTTTAAAAAACTAATTTCACTATTCAAGGAAGAGGTGGTTGGCAAGGGTGGAATCATGATTGTTGGGTAAGGATCCAGCTGTGCCAGTTTTATTTACTAACTTACAGGTGGACATGTCTATTTTGTAAAGTAACTGATTTGTGTACCTGGATCCTAGGATCATCCTTAAAGGTAGGGCCCAGCAGAAAAGATAACTACTTTCAGAAGGTTATAGTTTATATACTGGTAGTCTTTAAAATAGAGATAAAGGGAAAACTCATCTAAAATATTAGGACATAAAGAACATTTTGTCACTTTTTATTTGTGACATATCTAACATTTAACATATAGCTCTTACCTGATGAGAAAGACTAAGGGATATCTTAGTCCTTTCAATAGGTTTGCTGATTTAAAAAAGCACCTGTAAGGAATATAGAATCGATACTGATCACAGATAAAGAGGGCCAATATTTAAGTACTTACTATGTATCAGGTACTGTTCATAGATGCTACATGCATTCTTACCAGTTTAATAGTACCTTATCATCCCTGTTTCACAAATGAAGAAATTGCGGTTTAGAGATATTAGGTAATTTTCCCATGGTCACACACCTAGTAAACAGTGTTTGAAACTAAGTCTGTCTGAAAGGAAGACAAGAAGAATCATAGCATTTATCTATTAATAATTCAGCCCCTTTGTTTCACAGACTGGGAAACCAAATCTCAGAAAAGTGAATTGGCTTGTTCACCTCCACAGCTAATTAATTATGTTGTTAATCCTAGAGGGATTAAAAATCTCTGGTGTAATGTGTTGTTTCTTAGTTGAAGATTTAGGCTTTTTATTACGTTAGGAAGAAATGCAGTTATTAGTGACTTCTATTCAAAGATCCTTCACAAACATATTTATTTTTATATTTTCTATACTTTTTTGCTCCTCAAAGTAGATTTATTTCCAGTAAAGTACATGTAATGAGTAAAGTGAGACTCATTTAAGTTAGCTCATATTCTGTGATCATTATGTTAAACATTTAACTGAAGCATTTGGACTTACCTCAGTTTTGGTATGTCTTTTTTTGTGGGGATGTGTGTGATTTAGACAGAGAGGAGGTCCCAAATATATATTTCATTAGTTAAAAAAAAACTTTACCACTTATCTTACTCAATATAAAATTAACAAGAATCCTAATCAATTTCATGTTCATATATCTGATCATAATTTTAAAACAATAGAATATTTTAATTTTTCATAGCATTAAATTTTTATTTTAAAATGAATTTTATATTTTCCTAAGGAAATTTGGCTATAGATGGAGAAAAAATTTAAATATTGGCCTTTTCTTCCCTTCCAGGTTTCACCTTGCTTAAATGTCCTATCACGATTATTGTTTAGCAGTGACCCAGATGTATTAGCAGATGTGTGTTGGGCCCTTTCTTATCTCTCCGATGGACCCAATGATAAAATTCAAGCAGTCATTGATTCTGGAGTGTGTCGAAGATTGGTGGAACTTTTGATGTAATTATAATTTATGTTTAATAATTGTATGATTGTGTATTAAGTTTAGCAATTAAAGTAATGACCTTATAAATATCTCAAGAGTCCCTATCTTCAGGAAGAATTAAAAAGTTACCAACCCCACACTTAGGAGAATAGCTATACTCCTAAAATGTTGAGCTTTAAAATTATATCTTGTAGTTGGGATTAATTATTTTGTGAATGAATTTCCTTAGTTTAGTGTGATCTTTTTATGAATGAGAGAGACTGAATTCAACAAGTATTTATGGAATGCCTTTTATCTGCTAAGGTATTGTGCAAGACATTGTTAATGAAGTATAGAACAAAGTTCTTGCTCTCACAGAACCAATGATTTAGTTTATTATGACTTATAATAATTAATTTGAGTAAAAGTCCATGTAGTGAAAATCATTTAGTATTTCGATTGTTTTAAAGATAATATGTTTCTCTTTGCTGAGCTGTTATAGCTATTTTCTTTAAAAAGAACAGCTTTTCTATATAAAGAATTTAAAAACTTTCAAGAAAACTTCTTTTAAAAAGATGTTATGGCTGGCCAGGCACTGTGGCTCATGCCTGTAATCCTAGCACTCTGGGAGGCTAAGGTGGGAGGATTGCTTGAGCTCAGGAGTTGGAGATCAGCCTGAGCAAGAGTGAGACCTCATCTCTACAAAAAATAGAAAAAATTAGCCAAACATGGTGGCATGCACCTGTATGTAGTCCCAGCTACTCTGGAGGCTGAAGCAGGAGGAACATTTGAGCCCAGGAATTTGAGGTTGCAGTGAGCTACGATGACACCACTGCACTCTACTCAGGGCAACAGAATGAGATTTGATTTGAAAAAACAAGAAGATGTTATGGCTGCTTCATCCTCTTACCTTCTTTTAAAAAATGTGTTATCTTCTTCCCTTTCTTCTTCTGTCAGAAAGCCATTAGATAGGCCAAACAAGATAGGTGGCACAAAGAAGAGAGATGTGACAGCATCAGAGGAGGGTGGGCAGGCAGGTCCAGTGATGAGACCAGGGCCCACACTTGAGAATGGCACCTACCAGAGTGAGCACACAGCAGGCCAGAGTGAGGCTTGGAGCTCACACATCATGAGATATAGCAGCTTAGCTAGGTTAGAAGATTGGCCATATATAGGGAGATTAGGAAGATAAAGCTATGTCTTATTATCAGAGAATGGAAATAATAAATATGGAAGAAGAGAAAGCCTGAATAATCCTGTGATTTTTAGATTAGAAGTAGAAATATCAATATGAACTCATGGCTCTTAACAAAGATAGGTATAGAAATATATATATATATTATGCAAGCATGCGTGTGTCCTCATAAAGGGCCTGGGAACAATAACACTCATATAGTAATTAGCTGAACACACTGCCCAAATCTAGGCTTCTAAATACCACTCTTCATTTAAAGGAATCAGGTTCTTAGAGAAATGACTGATTCCAGGGCTGGAAATGAGAAACATGACTATGGAAAGTAATGAGTGCTCAA